CTCCCGGATGATTACAGCCTAGATCGCCCATTGGAACAGTGGGTTCCCTATGGGTCTGCACCAGCGACAGGGGCAGGAGAGAGGGGATGACGGCGTGAAGGTCAAGTGCCCAGCAGTAAGCACTGAGCGTCTGTTTGCACCCTTAGACCCAAGAGGCTAGAGGCTGGAGACCCTGGAGGAGGCTGTGGCTATAGGGACTGGAACCGGAAGTGCCTTCCCGCTCCGGTCTCCTGCCCTGACTAGGGGCAAGTATCCTGTGAGTGGTGAGGCGGGGCCCCATTCCCACAAGCAGAGACCCTCTAGGACAGAGGAGAACAGCCCCACAGAGTGTCAAGACCATCGATCTTTACAGAAGCCAACTACCACATCTGCTTCCCGTGGAGTAGGGGGCCGACCCTCCAGCCAGCAGCTGAGCACTTTACCACCGTGCCACCAGGGTTCTTTGTATTTACCTTGAATGGACAGTGAAAAAAACAGAGCAAGTCCAGTAGTAATACGGTCTAGCAGTCTGACGGTTACAGGAACATGGTGTCCCTCCACCTGAGTCCAGGGATCTCACAAGGATCGATGGAGCCCGAACGCTCCAACAGAGGGAGGGGGCCTTCGATGAAAAAACCAGAAGCAGTTAAATGTAAAATAGCATTTTAATTTTTTATATAGTTTAATGTTTATAAAGCAAGACATAATCAAGTACAGATATTGTTTGCTAGATTTATTTGGCTCCTGCTTCTCCAGCATTAAAAAGTAATGCTTTCTATGATCTGACTTTATTACAACGATAAAACCAGAGGCAAAAGCTCATCAGTTAAAATACAGCCTGGCATGGAATTATCTTTGCTTGATCATTTCAGACTTCTCCAAAGTACACAGTCTTTGTTCACGCTCCTGTTGGGGGCTAGAGCCGGTAGCATTGAGGTGAAACAAAGGTGGATATAAATCGCATACAGAATTTTTATTGTGTGTCCAAGTTGTATTTTCCAGTAAGGAAAAACATGCCTCGTTGTACAAGCGCTGAACGAAAACTGCTCTCAGAACTGACCTGGGCCGTGTCTCACAACACCGAGGGAACTTTCAGAAACTGTGTTCTGCGTTCACCACATCCGCTCTTGCTAATTCTTTTTCCCCTTGAATTTCTAAAAATTGTTACCAGATTGAACAGGGACTTTGTCAGAGTCTCCTGCATTGTACAGAGAGTGGCCGAAGCCTTACTCCTGAACCGGACCTACTGTGGTCGAACTGGTTCCAACACACGGTGACCCTACCTGGGCTTTCTGAGACAGACAGCCTCCTCTCCCGCCTCAGAGTAGCTGGTGTATTTAGTTAGTGCTGTGGAAGATGTGTGTCATCTTTCCCCAGACTTATTCCACCTGTGTGCTGAGCCAATCCTCCGAGAAGCTGGGTTCTATGAAGAAAAATGTGGCGTCAGGATTGCAGGAAGACTCATTAACAACCTGCGATATGCAGATGATACAACCTTGCTTGCTGAAAGCAAAGAGGACTTAAATACTTACTGATGAAGATCAAAGAGCACAGTCTTCGATATGGATTGCATCTCAATGTAAAGAAAAAAAAAAAAAAATCCTCACCACGGGACCAGTAAACAACGTTCTTACTAATGGAGAAAAGGACTTCATTCTTCTTGGATCAACTATCAACACTCATGGAAGCAGCAGCCTAGAGATCAAATGACATATTTCACTAGGCAAATCAGCTGCACAAGACCTTTTTGGTATTGGAGGAGAATATTGAAAGTGCCATGGACTGCCAAAATAACAAACTGATCTATGTTAGAAAACGTGCAGCCAGAGTGCTCCTTGGAAGCCAGGATGGCCAGACGTAGTCTCTCATACTTCAGACCTATTGTCAGGAGGGACCAGTCGCTGGAAAAGGATATCATGTTTGGTAAGATGGAGGGTCAGAGAAAAAGAGGAAGACCCCCAGCGAGATGGATTGGCCAAATGGCAGCATCAATGGGCTGAAGCTTAGCAACAACTGTGAGATTCACCAGAACTGGGCAGTGTTTCATTCTGTTGTGCGTAGGGTCACTATGAGTCAGTACCAACTCCATGGCACCTAACAACAACAACAACAAAGATGTTTATTGAGTTTTATATTTTTGTGCAGACCCAGGGGAATGGCTGAAACAGAGCTTCTCTCCGCCCACATTGTTAGTGAGCGACCCTAAGGCACCACATCTGGAGCGTCTTGCATCTCTCTCCCAAAAGACAAGCCCAGCGGGTATGGGCCTGAGCTCAGGCTCTGCATTATCCAAACCACAGCGTCTCCTGTGTCTTGGTCAGAGCTTTGCCCTGCCTGGGAGCCGGGAGGTGCGCGCACAGATGGAAGAGGCCACTGCGTCTCTCTGGGGACAGTTCTGACAGGATCTCTGATGGTGATGCACAGGTTCTGCGTTGCCTCTGAGGTCAGGCCCATGAGGGATATGCGTTGCTCCCCATTTCCACGTGCAGCCAGAAGCCGTGGTTACCCTGTGGAGCAGCTCTTCACGGTCTGGTAGGATCCCTGGATTGTTTGTTGCCTGAAAATGTACCTTTATCCACAGAAGACAAGGAAGGCACGTATGACAGTGGACCCCTGCCTCTTCCCGTGTCTGCTCCTACAGGAAAGCGTCCAAGGTTCTGAGGGGGTCCACTGGCACCCTGACAACACAGTGACATCACACAGTCTATGTGTGGCACTTCTTTCTTCACTGGACTTCTCTCTGCATGGGTATGGGTGCCAAGTTCCCAGAGGTACCCAAGGCCTCAGGCCTGTAGGGGCTGACAGGGTGGCTGTGTCTACAGGAACACTCCGGGGACTTCAGAACCAAATACCAAACCCACCACCCTGTGCTCGGGTCTACCTCACACAGCCCCGGTGGCAGTGGGACGGCCCCATAGGGTTTCCCAGCCTGGGATCCTTATGGGAACAGATGCCCCCTCCCTCTCGCATGGAGTGATGTTTTGATGAGCAGTCTGTGGGGCAGCTCTCCTCTGTCCAGTGTGGAGTGGACTCCACAGCCAAGGGGCTGCTGGACTATCACGCACATGTTCCGTAACTCCTGTTACCTGAAGTCATTGCTTCAGGAGTTTGTTGGTGCCTGGTTGCATTGTAAAGGTAAAGGTGGCCAGTGCGTTTTCTGCCACCCAACCTTCCGTTGTTAGAGGCTAAGTGTCAGTCTTACATAAATGCTCCCAGTACATCGGCTGGGGTCCACATTCTGAGCAAACAGACACACATGAATAATCGTGTGATAAATCCCATTCCCCCAGGCAAGCAGGCAGCCAGCAGCCGGAGAGCTGGAGTGTGACCAGGTGGAGGCCAGCTTAGGGGACGTTCTCTCCTCCACAGAAGAGAGCCGTTCCTTAGCATGTGTTTTGTTTGTGAACTGGGTGAAGGTATACAGAGTAGATCAGTTTTCCTTCCAACAATTCAGACACATTTTATTCCGTCTCTTTGATTGCAGCCCCCACAATGTGACATCACCCACCCCAGTGCCTCCTTGGTCCAAGTGATTACAAGGAGCTTCCGAAACCCCGAGCGTCCCTGTCGATGACCGCAGTGACTTCCGTCCATACTTGCTAACAGGGCAGCTGTAACCAAAAAAACACTGCTTGCTGTCATCCTTGTTTTCTTGCAAATAATTGCCAAACACTTACGGCTCCTAATGTGAGCCAGACCAGACTCTTTGCTCTCGCCCTTCTAGTCATAGTCCAGTGGTACCTAGTGAGCTCTGTTTCCTTACACAGTCACACTTTGCAGCTAAACGTACACATTACAGTCAGATGTGAAGAGGTCTCATCTGTCACACCCGCCTCTGCAAATTAAAGCAGCAGAGCCCCATTTATGTGGCTGCTGAAATACAGCAGAGCCTGACGCGTTCATGTTTAATATGACTAATAAATTTTAAAATCCACACTTTTATTGAAAAACATTTTCCTGAATTGCCATCAAGGAGAACGGATTGTTCAGTGTAAGTACTGTATCAGCGGGAATGGCGGCAGCGTTGTGTGGAGAGACATCCACCACGTTACCTGCAGCAGCCTTTACTATTTCACTTTTATGTGCAGCCAAACTGCACACAATTTTAGGGGGAAATTAGTGCAGTAACAAAGTAACGATCATAGTAAATACAGGGCTTCTCCTTGTCACCTACGTTGTTTTGGAAAAGCCATTCTGTGAGGCTAGCGTATAGATGGCAAGCTTTTGCCTGGAGAATACTAAGGTTAGAAAAAGCGCTTGTCTTTCTGCAAATAGTTGCGGGGCACACATGGGCAAAAGGAATATAAAACAAGCTCAGATCTTCCAGGTCTGAAATGATGTTTGTTCGTGTGAAGCTGTAAAATCTCACGAATCCGTCCATCCGGACAGGCACTAGTGAAGTACTACCTAGTCCACGATGCTGAAATGACCCTCGCCTCTGAGTTCAGTCTTCCTAAACTTTCAGAAAAAATTTGAAGCAAATAGAATCATACTTTGCAGATAATATTGCAGGAGGCATCTGAAAATCCCATCGCAAACTGGAAATACATACAAATGTAATGAGATTGAACCGCACTTGATTTTTCTAACTATAACCAGTTTCTCAATGCCTTTTCTAGTTACTGACTGAGAGGTGATGACCAGGGCATGTGGTTTTCAGGAGTTGACCTTGACTCATGAGTGGGCTTTCTGTCTTGTATTCTTTCTGTCCCGGTAAGATTCCAGATGCTTATTTCATTAGGGACCACCCCTCCCACCCTTTCCTTCTCGTGAGTGACTTCATCCAGGTGCCTGGCATGTTGTCTGTGGTGTTGCGTTGGGCTTACAACTGCAGCTTGTCCTCACAGGCCCCAGCCCCACCTGGAACCACAGCTTCTGGAATAAAAGCTTCACTTGGGGGACAGCAGCTTGCCTCCCAAACGCTGACACGTGGCTGATGGACGCCCCGAGCGCAGGCTCCCGGCCTTCCTGACCTCTCCTGGGATTCCCCATTGACTGTGACCCACTCTCCCTGCCCACAGGCCATGGAGGTGCAGATTCAGAACTTTGGACAGACGCCGGCTCAGCTGCTTATCGAGCCACATCCACCTCGGAGCTCCGCCATGCATCTGGTGAGTCCCAGCGGCCCACAGCCGGCCTCTTCTCTGTCCTGTGCCTGAGCAAAGATCCCAGAAGCGCTCAGACAAGTGGGTGGGAAAGTAGAATGAAAAGAGAACGGGATTTTTCCACCCTCTCGAAGCACTGTCATAATCGCTGAGGAGGTGGGGGAAGGGGAACTCCTGAAGTCCCGGTTCGGCCCGGTTCCGCCCAATGTGGGGATCACAGCCAGCCTTTACTTCAGCTCTCTGTTCTAAGGAAAGGCTACCTAGACCAAAGGGAGTTCTCTCCCGACTCATAGCCATCCGACAGCGCAGAGGAGAACTGCCCCATAGGGTCTCCTTCTCGGGAGCAGACTGCCTCACCTGCTCCCACAGAGTGGCTTCAAACTGCTGGCCTTGCAGTTAGCTGATGCTTAACCACTGCCCCACCAGGGCTCCTTTCTTAAGTGAGATTTGATTTGTAAATTGTGACGGAAACTCTCAGCACTATACGAAATTGCCAAACTTAATCTTTTAAAGGCTACAGGGGGTTCACTGGAAACATCCATGTCTGGTCCCTGACACAGAGGCAGGCAGACAGAGCTGGGTTCCACGGCCAGACCTGGGTCACATGCCATCTGTCTCTGCCCTTACCCAGTGAGGGCCTCAGCCCGGCAGCCGGCATCTGTACAGGGGGTCTGAAGCTTCCTGCTGGCCCCCCACCCCCTCAACTTCACTCTCAATTCATGCATCAGAGCCTGTCATTCCCACACTGTGAGGGATGAGCAACATGTCTCTCATTTTAATTCGATCATTCAAAGCTTCTGTCCCTCAGAACCATGGAGATGGTTCCAATGTGACCTTTTAGGACAGAATAGCATTTCCCCACAGGCTTCCAAGGTTGCCATCTGGATGGAGGTGGACTCTCTCATCTTCCTCCCACTGAGGGTCTGTGGGGTTTGAACCACCCGCCTTGAGATTAGCAGCCAGGCGCTCAAGCACAGCACACTAGGGTCCCTTTATTTGCATAATAAAACTGTCCTTTTTCAATTTGTTGTTGTTGTTGTGAAGTGCTGTCAAGTCGGTTCCGACTCATAACAACCCTGTATTGGGTTCCCAAGGAGCAGCTAGTGGTTTTGAACTGCCAACCTTGTGGCTAGCAGGCCAGTGCTGATCCTACAGCGCCACACCAGGAATCCTTCAGTCTGTTGGCAAACAGTAATTGTGTCTTCTGAGAAAGACCTTTAGAATTTATTTATTTTATATATAGCTTTTTATTGTGAATTGGGTGATTGGGTGAAGGTTTACAGGCAAGATCATCAGCTTACATAGTTTACATTCAGCAAACTATCCACCTTGTGTCATCTCAATAATTACAATCTCCTCCCTGCAACAACATTTATCCTACTTCCTCCTGTGGCTCCTCATTTACATCCTATATTTCACAAATGAACAAGGCAAAAATATTTGGTGTACACTTGCAAAACAAAAAAATATAGATTCATTTAAATGTCCAAAGGACGCATTCTGCCAGTCAGCCTCCTGCCCACAGAAACACAGCCACCATCTCTGCTGTAGCCGCTTTTCTAGGTAGGGATTTCAGTTCCACTCATGCTCTTCCTTCCTGATGGTTCTGGGAGCGTCTGTTCCTGAAATGAAAGGATAACTACTTCCCACTTTTAGTTACATGCCTTCTGCAATCATAGCCGTAACAATACCAATTAATCCTGCTAATAACTATTCACAATTGAGTCATGAAATCCTATCATAGTTGTCCCTATCCCCTTTCACCAGATCCACCTGGAGAGGAGGGAAACTATTCAGTGGGGCTTCTACCTTACCCGCCTCATTCTGTAACTAGTTACACACTGGAAAACTTGTAAGCCAGTCACTTCATGCCTTTGCATTCAAACCCCACTTTTTTTTTTAAAAAAAAAAAAAGCTTTTATTGTGAATTGAGTGAAGTAAACCTTCAATTTTACTTTCAACAAATCATTGCAATGATTAAAAGCCCCTGCATGCACAGTATTAGCTAATAGTATTTATCTCTATTACACCCTTTTTAAATGGATGTATACATACTATATTGTAAATATATATAGAATTTATTCTTAAAGTGTACTTTTGTTAAGGAGCTATGGTAGTGCAGTGGTTACGAGTTGGGCTGCGAACCTGACAGTCAGCAGTTCGAAACTACCAGCTGTTCTGTGGAGAACGATGAGGCTTTCTGCTCCTGTAAAGATTTACAGCCTTGGAAACCCTGTACAGGGTCGCTGTGTGCTGGAACTGACTTGAAGGCACATGAGCACCACCACCATCAGAGCCCTGGTGTGGCGCTGTAGGATTAGCCCTAGACTGCTAAACCACCGGTGGGTCCTCATAAACTACATATGGTCACTATGAGCTGGAACCCACTCAACAGCACACAACAGAAACAACACTAGTTACCAACGGGTTTCTCTCATGCCTCTTCTGTGTGTCAGAAGTAATGCCGAGTGCTGGGGAGACAGGAGCAAACACATCCCCTGATCTCTCCAAGTCCTCGACAGGCAAACTCACAGGGGAACTAATAAATGCACACCTTTATAGACACTTGGTTTCTTTTCTACAATTGCTCAGACCCCCCACCCCCATAGCAAGGCTGAATGTGGGTCTGTGGCAAAACACAGGTCTGCAGCAGGCGAGCTGCCCACGCAGACCCCGGTCACCATTACCATGTAGACTCGGAGCCACAAGACTTGAAGTGGGGCATTTTTAATACACTGTTCAGAAGAAAGTGCCAGCATTTCTTTTCTGACAGATTGGGCCAAGAGCGGTCATCCCAAGTTCATTTTATCTGCTCGGTCAGAATACTTATCCTAGGCCATCACCCAGTGGACATCAATGAGAGACAGAACTGGCAGGACAGTCCAGGAAGAAACTACAGGCTGGTTAAATTCAGGTCGCTGTGAGGAACAGACAGAGCAGCTGGTTACAAAGCCTACCGAGGTCTTTACCTCAGCTTCTCCTATAGGCACTTACAAGGCGTGCTGGTGAAATCAAGAGGACAGTTTTAGCCATGGCCAGCCTGTGAACGACAATTGCAGTCTCCCTTGTGTAGATTCTTGCCACTGTCAGCTTTTTGTGGAGATTATTGGATATTTTCAGAGCTCAGGTGCTATGGTGGCGAAGTGCTGAAACCCACACGAGAGAGCCAGGAGACCGCTGTTTCCATAAAGATGGTAGCTTGGGGACTCTCCGGGTGCTTCTGGAGGGCCGTCATGAGACGCAGTGTATTTTGTTGTTTTGGTCACAACATTAAAAGGAACCTGGTATCTCAGCAGTTCAGCGCTCAGCTGCTAGCCAGTAGGTTGGCAGTTCAAACCTACCGTTGACTCGAATGGAGAAATGGCGTCGCCATCTGTCCCCGTAAAGATTTGCAGTCTAGGAAACAGTATGGGGAGCACTGCTCAGTCCTGTGGGGTTGTGAGGCACCATAATCAACTCCACGGGACCCAACAACAGACACATCGCTCCTGCGGTAGTGCCACCCATCGCCTCTCCTCCTCATCCTCTCAAGCCACATGCTGGATGCTTGAGAGACAAACCAAGATGGAGTAAGCAAAAAAGTCGGCTGCCCTCAGCTGGCTCAGCGTCTGGAAGGGGACATGGTCTAGACAGTAAACCGTGGGTGTGAACCATTGCAGAAATGCCCAGAAACCACTGGCAACCAGTCCACCACGGAGAAGTAGCCTCTCACATCGTAACCAACCTCACCCATTGTCCACTAATATGTCCTTGTCTGGAAGCTGAGCTTAGCTTTCACATGGAAGCTTGGATCGAGGCTAACTGTTGCTGTATTGAAGTCCTGGGTTAGTGTTGTGGGTTAGTGCACTGGATTCCAAAGTCGGTTTGAACTGCAAGGTCAGCGGTTCAAGCTCACCAGCTGCTCCTCAGAAACCCTATACAGTTCGCTATGGGTTGGAACCAACTCAACAGCACTTAACATCAGCATTGCTGTATTATTATGCAGATAACATGATCTGTGTGTTTGTTTGCCTACCTGTTGTTGTTAAGTACCTTCCATGCCTCTGTGACTCTAGGCTTTCAGTCTTCTAGGAGCAGAAAGCCTCATCTTTCTCTTGTGAAGTGACTGGTGGGCTTGAACCACCAATCTGTGGTTTGCAGACCCGTGCTTATCCTACGTGCCCTCCTTTACTGCTCCCCCCATCCTATGCTGGTTTCTTATGTGTTCCCTGGTGGCACAGTGGGTTAGGTGCTGGGCTGCTAACTGAAAGGTCACCAGTTCAAACCTACCAGCCATTCCGTGGAAGAGCAACAAAGTGGTCTGTTCTGTGAAGAGTCCAGCTGAGGAAACCCTTGGGGCAGTTCTCCTCTGTCCGAATCAGCTTGGAGACAATTCAGTTTGGTTTTGTAACAAAAATTAGCACAGCGACCTGGAGAAGGGACCAAGTTGAGCTAGCAGGCCAGCTTAGGGCGCACACTGTTTGTGTGAAAAGACGGGTAATCGTGTGGTTTTGGATGCCAGGGACTGTGGAGACCCATGTGGATGGTCCACAGTGGCCGCTGCTCGTGGCCGCCACTGCTTGCGGCCAGCGGCGTCCATGTGTGTGCCCGCGCTGCCCAGATCGCTCACTAACGGCGCTCTCCCTTTTGTCTCTCCGCTCTTCTCTCCCTTTCTATTCAACAGTGTTTCCTTCCACAGAGCCCGCTCATGTTCAAAGACCAGATGCAGCAAGACGTGATCATGGTGCTCAAGTTCCCGTCCAACTCGCCCGTGACCCATGTGGCGGCCAACACGCTGCCCCACCTCACCATCCCTGCGGTGGTGACGGTCACCTGCAGCAGACTCTTTGCCGTGAATAGATGGCACAACACAGTGGGTAGGTGCGCCCGGCCGGCCGGCACTTCCTAACTGGGCCCTCCAGGCTACAGCTCAGGTAAGAGGAACAGGAGGGTTAGCTAGGCTCCCAGGAACCCCAGCAGAGTAAGCAGCTGTTTACACAATGCCTGTCTGCTGGCCTCAGATGCAGGGCCTCAAGGGGAGCTGGGCCAGGGACTCCTGGGGGGCGCTCTGGATTAGCACTGGACTGCAAACCACAGGGTCGGTGGTTCAAACACACCAGCTGCTCCTCCGAAACCCTGTACAGGGTGGCTGTGAGTTGGAACCAACCCGGCGGCACGTCCCAACAGCAGCAAAGCATTTAGTGGATGGAAGCAGTTCTACAAACAAATCGGGTGCTCCTTCCCGCTCCACCCCTTGTTGTTGTGACTCAGTGATCCTGCATAGGGTTTCCAAGGAGCAGCTGGTGGGTTTGAACCACCGACCTTGCGGCTCAAACTGACCTTGCGGTTCAGCACATTGTCCTGCACCATCCAGGCCTCCGCTCCATCCACTACAGCAGCCCAACACCCCACTTAAGAGCCCATGGTCCCCAAAAGCGGGAGCCCTAGCTGGTGCACATGGTAAAGCACTCTCCTACTAATCAAAAGGTTGATGGTTCAAACCCACGCAGAGGTCCCTCAGAAGCCAGGCCTGGCGATGTGCTTTTGAAAGGTCCCAGCCTTGGACAACCGGATGTAGTCCTCTGCACGTACCAGGGCCTCATGGGTCGTGTCTTGGAAGAATCCGGACTTCTCCTTCTGACAGTTTCAGATTCTGCTTCCACCCACGGCGTTCTTCTACGTGGCTCCTTGGTGTCACACAGCACTGAGCAGTAAACAGTAGCAGTGAACAAGACAGATGTCATTTCCCTCCATCCTGGTCAGCTGAGAGCCTCAGAGGGTTTCACGTGCACATCTTCACCAAATGTTTTCCAGGATGTTCCGAGTGGTCCATCTTCCGGTGATAGACTGCTGTTGTCAAGGCTCAGGCGTACTGATACTTAGTTAGGCCGGGCAGGATGAGATGTGGCCCGCTTCAACACTTAAACACCTGCTGTCGTCAAGACGGAGCAGATAAGCCACAGTGAATTAACCTGGGCCCCCACCCTCAGACTTCCACGGTGCACTGAAAGTCGTAACAATTCATGCCATCCCTCCGTCTCCTAATCCCTAAACACACCCTTGTCATCATCAACAGAAGTGTGCAGCCAGCAAACATCTGAGGCAAAAATGTATCTTTTGTACTCTCTCAGGGGCCTGACTCTTTAGAAATGTGTTACATTGAAGGAAAGCTGCAAAGGACCATAGATTTCCTTACGGTTGTTCAAAAGTGTGAGGTATGTTATGTAATCATAGTGGTGGTGGCTGTGTGCCGTGGAGTTGGTTCCGAGGCTGTCAGGAAAAAATGGCAAGATGACGGCCCAAACTGTTCATTCCAGGAAGTAGCTTACACTGAGCTGAGGATTCGAGGGGTGGCTCCGTTTTGACCATTCGGTTTGTTTGTAAGATGAGGGTCCATCACAAAGTCTTGCTACAAATACATCCAAACGTAAAGCCATTGTTCATTGACAGACTCGCCATCTGGGTGTCTACACTTCTGAAGACAGTGTCTTCTTGTCTCAAGTCCTTCCCTGAAGAATTCTGTGCTCTTCCATTGACACCACTTCAGAAAGGGTGTCTGGCACCCTCGAGGGACCCAAATCATTCTCCTGTGCAGTGTTCATTGACTTTATGTAACCACAGAAAAGTGTTCTTCACCTGCTGCTAAATCAGCCGATACTCAGTGAGACAAAACTCAGAGCAAAAACATGTATTGAGTATCCATATGGAGGGAACGGGGGGGTGGGGGGTGGGGGAGGCAGGAATCTCCCGGATCTGCCTCCCCAGCCAGCGGGGGCAGCTAGGGTTCTTCAGGGGAAGGAAAATCAGGATGCCGTTCAGGCATTGTTGTATATTTTTTGTATCTCAGCAGTTGGTGGGACCACATCAGGAGTCAGAGTGGTTGCGTCCCTAACGTAGGCACCGTTTCAGGCGTTCCTGTTTGCTGATTGAAAAGGAGCGATTAATTATGGAATGTCGCTAAGGAGGGCGTTCAAATGTAACTACAGCCACTTCCCAAGAAGGCTACCTGGGTTCTATTTTACTTTGTTACTGTTGCCAAGTGCCATCGAGAGTCAGTTCTGACTCACTGAGACCCTGTGTTGGATTTCCGAGGAATGGCTGGTGGGTTTGAGCCTCTGACCTTGTGTTTAGCAGTTCAGTGCTTACCCTTCAGGGCCGCACCAGGCTTCCACTTTAGGTTATGATAAGACCTTTTTAATGGCCCCATCTCTCAGTGCTCCCTTTCATTTCGGCAACACAAAAGAAGCCTGAAGGGGAAACTTAGGGCTGTAGCATGGATGGAGTCATGTTTCACAGAGGAAGACCAGCCATGTGTATGGCTGTGATGGAAAAATTCCTCGCACAATTTTCCTGGAAGCCTTTTCTTCACCAATAGTTTGTGTTTCTTTAAAACTTCTTCCTGATGCATCCCATGGCCTTCTTGTGTGCGCAGTCACCGCAGCGCCCTGAGCTGACCTCTCTGCCTTGAACTGAACTTGCCCAGAAGATCCCTGCGGAATGGCACCTTTGTTTGAAGGTTCACTAATGTGCATGGGGCCAAACAGGTGTCTGCAGCTGGTCACTGATGTCAGGGACGTGGCTAAGTGTTTTTGTTTAGAATCAAGCCGTGCAGGTCTCCACAGGAACCTGAGAGCAGTATTTCTAACTTAGGCTCGTATACAGAGAGGAACCCCATTTCCATGACAGCGCACCTTCCCCTCAGCTTCCCCCAGGGGAGTCCTGCTCACTCTCTGCCCCATGGCCTTTCGGCTGCCCTACCTCTCTGATGGGACCAACAAATGTTAGGGTTGTGTTTTCTCCAGCACTTTGCTGTTGTTGGGGTGTTCTGAGGTGGAAACCAGGGTCCCCCCTGTGAGGATCACTCCAGACTCTCCACAAAGACGTGTCGTGTAACCGAATCATCCTCAGAGTAACTTTGCAGCTCGTTGTAATCAGATCCACGTTTTGTGCAGTCGCTGCTGGCGGTCCATCAGCCCTTTCTGAGGACTGAAGGCTGTTCTTCTCACCCTTGCACAGGCCTCAGAGGAGCTCCGGGATACTCCTTGGATCAAGCTCACCACCTTCCCATTGAGATGGACGCATTAATTGGTACGTCAAGCACAAAAACACACTTCACTTTCATGCTTTCTGACTGTCCACCGATTCATAGGTGGTCATTCTTCATAAAAGAGAGCTGGTTTTGTTTGTGGTTTGTGTTTTCTGCCAAAACACGAACATGCAAATAACATTAAACTACCGCCAGGAACTGTGCAAACCACACTATGCTGTCTCAGAGCCGGCTGGTCTGAAAGCAAGTATCCGTGGCATTTTCTTGATATTTTAAGAGACCATTTAAGCTGGTTGTAAGCAAGGCAACGAATTCCAAGCCATCTTTCCTTTCAAGACTACTCTCTAACAATTAGAAAATATTCCCTAACAATTCTATACTCTTAAAAATACAAGGAATTAAAGAAATTATTAAAGATAAAAGAATTTGACACGGCAAAGATCTTTGCCTATGAAAGTAATATAATACTCAAGAACATCTTTTCTAGAGGCCTCCGATCAGTAGGCATACAAACATCTGTTTGACTGGACGGTCCAAGATGGGTTGGACGCTCACGACGTGACTCTTTGTTAGCAGATATTCAAATTACCTCACAGGGCACATGTCTGGAGACCCCTTACTCAGGTATTCACCAGTGCGATCAGAACAAGCGAGCGTCTGGGACTCTGAGGCACGCCATGTCATCTCCGCACGGAGGTCATTGGTGTTCAGTGTTCCTGCCTCGCGCGTTGTCTGCAGATTAAACTAGAAAATACCCGTGAAAATGCTAGGGGACTGATCACGCTATCTGCAAATGTATGGCGTTTCATTCGACAACTCACTCTTCATCTTTGAGCCCAGAAATGAGGTCAGATATGACCACTTCAGGTACTTATTTTTACCCTGCACAAAGTAGCTCCTAAATATGTTGAGGAGAATATGAGTTTAGGATCAAGCATCCTTCTAGTACAGGTTTTCTTCTGTCTAACAGACTTCAACAACATAGCGTATAGCTAGCGTGTAAACCATGGAAAATATTGACATTCTCATGATTCAAGGGTGTTTTTTATTTAAAAGTTTTTACTGTGCTTTAGGTGAAAGTTTATAGAGAACAATCATTTCCCGTTCATTGTTTATACACATGGCGCCCACGGCACAGTTTGCTGTCCTCACAGTGTGTCCGCACCCTCATCCCCCTCCGCCCCAAGTCCACCTTTGGTTGGGTCCTGTTTCCCTTTTTAACCCTTTCTACCCTCTCGTCTTTGCTTTGGGGCCGGTGTTGTCCTTTTGGTCGCATTAAATAGATTGTTCCTCTTGGCTATTATTGTTTACGTTAAGGTCCTGCCTGTTGTTTAAGGAGTCCTGGTGGCACAGCAGGATAAGCATTAGACTACTAACAATAAGTCTGGAAGTTCAAACACTGAGCTGCTCTGCCAGAGCCGAGGCTGTGCGTGTCACTAAGGGCTTAGCTGGGAACCCCATGCAGGCTGTGACGCACACTTGACAGTGGTGGGTCTATTGGGCCTGAAAAGTGGTCTCTGGGACTGGCTCCAGCCTGGTCAGAGGAGGTCTCGGGGCCATTGTCTCTGTCAGACCAGTGACCCTCGGGTGTTTGGTGATTTTGGTATTTTGTTGTGCGTTTTTCTCTCGCTCTGCCAGGGACCCACTGCTGGGATCCCAGTCAGAGCGGTTGGTTGGATTCTGTGGTGTTTGCGTGACTGTTCACCATCTCGACTTACTTCTTGGGCTGTAGATCCCCACAGCTGGTCGTACATGGGTGGCCGTTAGTGTTACAGTGAGCTGAGATTGTCTTACATCTGCCTACTGAGGGCCTCTTTCTGTTTAGAATTCAGCCTGGGGAGGACGGAGCAGGGACTAGGGCAGGCTGACTTCATTCAGGGCTCTGTGATGCCTCTCCTCCGCTGCCAGCCTCTCTGGGAACCTTCTCTTGGCTGACAGTCAGGTCTCTAAAGCTGCTGACCTGAAGCTCCCTGTGGGGTCGTCCACAAAACATCCTCCTTCCTCCCAGCTCCCCATGATTAGCCAGTGTCACCAGACAGTGACAGGCTGGGGCAAACGTTAAGAAATGTTTTCCTCATGCCACAGGCTTCATGCAACCTTTGTCCCTCCTCCCGTTGTGAGTGGACACTGAGGTTTGGGTGTGGTGAGCGTCTGTAGAGTCCCTGCGTTTAAACATGCGGCCCATCTGCCCAGCTGGTCTGCGAGAGCTCCTCACATGCTCTCTGTGGGGGAGAAAGACGGGCCAGCTCCTGCATGCTCTTAAAGCATGAGACATGGTCCCCAAACAGCCACTAGCACACATGGCGGCCTTCTCCTCGAGGGAGAGCCTTTTCTAGGAGACCACGTCTCCCTGTAGTCTCCTGCAAAGTGCTTAGCGGAACTGGTGGTGCCCCCTTGACCTTCCCTTTTCTCCTTCCTTTCAGCCAATAACTCCGGTGTGAACAAGCGGCAGATCACAGACCTTGTGGACCAGAGCATTCAGATCAACGCTCACTGTTTTGTGGTCACAGCAGACAATCGCTATATTCTTATATGTGGGTTCTGGGACAAGAGTTTCAGAGTTTATTCTACAGAGACAGGTAACCTCACTCATGAGATAATGTATTTTCTGAAAGCGCACATAACTGCACCTGAGAACGGCTCTAGTCCTTTGTCTACGTGCGGCTCCAAAGGACAGGTTAACGGTTCCCGTTGTGAGCCAGACTCCATCACAGGAAAAAGAGCACCAGGGTCTTCTTCCCCAGATCCAAATCAAATCCAACAACAGCATTCCCAAAACTCTGAAGAGAAAGAAAATCTACTGACGTACCAGGTGGAGGCCTGGAACGTAGGTAGACCTGAACTATGTGTACAGGTGGGACCTAGAACGTAGGTAGATCTGAACTATGTATACAGGTGGGGACCTGGAACGTGATACCAGCCTGCCTTGTCTCTTTCAGGTAAACTGACCCAGATTGTCTTTGGCCACTGGGACGTGGTCACATGCCTGGCCCGGTCCGAGTCCTACATCGGGGGCGACTGCTACATCGTGTCTGGCTCTCGGGACGCCACCCTGCTCCTCTGGTACTGGAGTGGACGTCACCACATCATCGGCGACAACCCCAACAGCAGTGAGTGACGGCTTCGCCCGGGGTCCCGTTCAGTGCAGTGTCGGCGCACGTGCCTCCCAGTCGTTGAGCCCATTGTTGCGGCCGCTGTGCCAGCCCGGCTCATTGAGGCCTTCCTCTTTCATGCGACCATCCACTTTACTAAGTAGGTTACATAGTCATTTAAAGATAGTCAGCCTTTCGTAGTTTCCCAAATTCTTTCTCCTGAGGATTGTTTAACACGGAAGGCTTTACAGACACCTGGCCTCATAAAAGGGGCCTCCAGGTACCCTCACACCAACCCCCTCCAATGTCCAGAGGGCCCGTCCCTCAGAAATGCCCAGGAAGACTCACGGAGTCCTCTCCTTCTCCCTGCACTTGTAGCCTGTACATGGCTCTGCATGTGTTGAGCAATTCTGAGTGTCTCCTGCCCATAGGCGCTGGGGCCACCTAAGCTGCGTCAGGGCAGTCTCTGTGCTTGGGTGGATTCCGTGCATGGTTCCTGGTCACTGATACACACCTCGTGCGGTGCTGTAGAGTAAGCACTGAACTGCTAGCCACAAGGTCAGTGGTTCAAACTCACCAGCCTCTCCTCAGAAATCCTATGCAGGGTCGCTATGAGTCAGAACCGACTCACCGGCATGTAACAACAACAACCAGTGCACCCCCAAATTACCTGGGGAACAAAGGAGTGGGCTGTATGGTTTAAATCGGGTGGGGACCATCCAGCCCACTGGCTATATTTGTTGTTGTTGTTAAGTACCGTGGAGTTGGTTCTGACTCATAATGACCCTGCACAGGGTTTCTGAGGCTGTAAATCTTTATGGGAGCCGAAAGCCTCGTCTTTCTCCTGCGGAACAGCTGGTAGTTTCGAACTTCCGACCTTGAGGTTCACAGCCCGATTCGTAACCACTACGCTACCAGAGCTCCTTATAAGACCCACTAAATCATTTGGTGTGGCCCTGGCGAAGCAGCCACGGTTCCAGCCATCACGATCTTGTTGTTAAGTGCCGTGAAGTCGGTTCCGACTCATAGCGACCCTGTATAGCATTCCCAAGTAGCAGCTGGTGGGTTTGAACTGCCAACCTTGCAGTAAACCATCCAAAGCTGATCCTACAGCACCACACCAGGAGTCCATCAAATTTGGGGTGATTTAATTAAATGTTTGGCCAAATATAACAGGATAATTTTCAACTTGATTATTTTATGTGGCCGGTGAATGATGTTACAAATTTTGGCAGAGAAAAGGTTCCCACCCCCGGTTTAAATAAACAAACAAGCAGTTGGGGGCTCGTCCAGCCCGCTGCGTCTGCATCTCTCAGTCTGTCTAGCATTTGTTTTGCCCCCACGTTTCATACAGACTTATCCCGGAAATGTTTGTTCAGCTCAGAGCACACATCCCCCTCAGGACTGCGATTCCACCAACGTCACATCTCTCTCTCGCCATCTCAGTCTCTGGTTCCTGGTGTCTTGGTATAAACAGGAAGGAGGGGGCAACAAGAACAATTGCCTAGGAGTCCTGGTGTGGCTCTGTCGGATCAGCACTGAACTGCTAACCATAGGTGGAGGTTCAAACCCACCAGCTGCTCCTGGGGAACCCTATACAGGGTCGCTCTGAGTCAGAATTAACTCAACAGCACTTAACAACAACAAGGAATAATCACTGATATGAATTATCGAGCTTCCAGTAGTTCAGATGCATGTTGTTGTTAAGTGCAGCTGAGTCCGTTCCAACTCATAGGAGCAGTTCATGGGTTTGTTATAGACTCGGAGATCGGTCTGCCTGCCGTGTGTTCCTCCTATTCAGGGATCAGCCTGTCTGTTTGCTGTTACAATCCAGAGAATTGCTCTCATGTTAGGATCACCTTGTCTGCCAGTCACAGTTTCATGGAATGAGACGGCTGGTTGATTAACTTTATGGTCACACCCCTGTCATTTTGTTAGCATGACTCCAGGCACGTGTTTGGTTTGCACTCTGATTAGTCATCAACAGCTACTGGAGTCAGCTGTTTGTAGGTTCCTAGGTGTCTAGACTGGTTTCAGCATGTCAGATTGCTAACCTCCGCAGAAATCAGTATTGCTACAGTTTTAACAAATTGCCCAGGTGACTGTGACCATTTGTGAATGGGAGGCAGTGACTAGAGTTCCAGACCAGAGGGCCTGACGTCTAGTTGTCTTAACTCATGTTTCCTGACTCTCCAGTTTACTCTTGTGAAATGTGTGATCTTGCACATGGAGGTTTTGAACGGGTCTTTAGCTACATAACAGAATTGCTGAGAAGTGAGGCTTTCATCAGACATAGGCTTTTACACAAATTCCGAAACTCATTTGGAAGTGATAAAAATTAATTTGCACACTGTAATTGGAAGCGGCCTCCCGTGTGCAGGGCGGGTGGAGCTGACTGGACGCCTTGTCAAGTGTCTTGGACTTGGCCGCCGAGCCTCCAGAGCCCCGCTCTGCCCATGCTCTGGAAATGACTCGGCGCTGCTTCTCTTGAATCCTTAGAGTCTGCGTTCATTGACCACCAGACAGCCAGGTCTACAGTGTGGCCTCTTCAACCGACATTTCAAATACTGGGGTCTCCACACAGACCTCCATCTTCTCGGCAAGCGTGTTACCGGAACAGAGGTCTTTACAGAACACTTGCTGCACGCACTTGGCATTTCTAAAGGCACAGCAAGACAGAACTCTGAAAGGGCGTGTCGCTGATCCTTTCGAGTCAAATCCACACACACCTACTGACCAGGCAGGGCCACTATGATCTCCTGTCCTACTCTCAAAACTGTTCACTCGCATCCTCGAGCTCACTGGGAGCGAGGCCCCCCACCCTGTCTCCCAGCCCTGCCCGGCCTGGCCACATCTGGTCAACCCACATCTGCTGGTCATCTCTGAAAATGACTAGTGACCAGCGCATCACAGCAGTCAAAGCAGCGACAACGCCCCCTGAGGTGTCTTTTTGGTTTTAGCTTTGTTTGTTTTTCTTTTTTTTTTTTTCTTTATTTTATTGTGGATTGAGTGAAACTTTACAGGGCAGATCATCAGTTTTACATTCAACAAATCATACACCTTGTTTCATCACAATGATTACATTCCCCTCCATGTACCATCAGTTCACAGGATTTCTTTCTATTCACTTTAGCTCTTTTTTAAAATAAATAAATAAATAAAAATAAAAACACTCAGGCATATACAATAATTTATACCACCAAAGGGCATATTCTGCAAGTGTGCCTCATGGCCACCACAAATTTAGAGCCCTCAGCTGCTCCCCCTCTCCATGACCCCATCTCTGCCTCTGTCTCTGGCGTCACTACTTCTCTGGATAAGGTCCCACATTCTGCTTATGTTCTTCTCCCTTGATGGTCCTAGGGTCCTCTGTCTCTGGACTGTAAGATTAACTGCTCCCTCATTTTTGTTACAAAATTTCTACCTTTTCAGTTGTGACAGTCGCAATTAGTCATGATAACAATTACACACTATTGAATCACATGAATCTTATCCCCATCTCTTTTAACCAGACCCTTCTAGACAAGATGATAACTATTCAGTGGGGACTCTTTCTTCCCCCACACACTCTTAAATTAATCTCCCTCTTGAAACCTTATAAGCCAGTCACTTCATACCTTTATCACCCCCTCATTTTAGGCAGCCAATATCTAAGTTGCCCGTCCCTATCTACCCTGTGTACAGAGAGGCTTAGCTTTGTTTGTTTTTTACTTTTTATTGTGAATTGGGTGCAGGTTTTCAGAGCTGATCAAGCTTCCATCCAGCCGTTCATGTGTGTTTTATTACACGCTATGACATCACGTCCATCCTTGTCTTCCCTAACACTCTGAACTCTGTCCTTGGATAAATGCTGCCCTTCTGAGCCCCAATGACTGAGTCCCTAAGGAGTGAGTACCCCCTAATGTTGCTGTTCCCATTCTAGACCTTCTGCTGTTGGCTGGAAACTGAACCCTGGGAGGCAGGAGGCGCGTTCAAATCCTTGCCCCATGATGAATAAGGACCCTGCCCTATCTGTTAGGGGGATTAAGGACCCTATCCTATCTATTAGAGAGACTAAGGACCCTACCCTATCTATTAGGGAGACTAAGGACCCTACCTTATCTATTAGGGAGACTAAGGACCCTACCTTATCTATTAGGGAGACTAAGGATCCTACCCTATCTATTAGGGAGACTAAGGATCCTACACTATCTATTAGGGGGGCTAAGGACCCTACACTATCTATTAGGGGGGCTAAGGACCCTACACTATCTATTAGGGAGACTAAGGACCCTACACTATCTATTAGGGGGAGTAAGGACCCTACCCTATCTATTAGGGAGACGAAGGACCCTAGCCTATCTATTAAGGAGACTAAGGACCCTACCCTATCTATTAGGGAGACTAAGGACCCTACACTAGCTATTAGGGAGACTAAGGACCCTACCCTATTTATTAAGGGGACTAAGGACCCTACCCTATCTATTAGGAGGATTAAGGACCCTACCCTATCTATTAAGGGGACTAAGGACCCTACCTTATCTATCAGAGTTTGTACACTTCGTAGGGTTCCCACAGAGGCGAGGTGTATCCATAGAACTGCAGGACAGCATCTGGCCCAGCACCACTGAGCAGTTACCACCAACCCCTCTGAGAGATTGTGCAGCAAGTGACCACGAGAGCTCTCGTGTCTGAGTCATGTGTTCTGAGTTAGGGAGAGACAACACTGAGCCCGCTGTGGCCATTTCCTTTTCGTACAGTGACTCTGTGTATTCCTTCCATCTTCTCTTAATGCTTTCCATATCATTCAATAATTTGCCCAGAGAATCTTTCAATAACGAAGTCTAGGCTTGAATCTTTTCTTCAGTTCCCCCAGCTTGAGAAATGTTTTGCGTGTTCTTCCCCTTTGGTTTTCTGACTCCAGATCTTTGTGCATACAATTCAAAAATTGTAATATTTGACTTTGTCTTCTCGAGCTGACCTTTGAAATTTTCTGTTCAGCTCTTGTACCTCCTCATTTCTTCCATTTGCTTTAGCATCACTGTGCTGGAGAGCAAGTTTCAGTGTCTCTTCTGACATCCATTTTGAGCTTTTTCTTCTTTCTTGTCTTCTTTATAATTTTTTGCTTTCATCTTACATGATGTTCTTGATGTCATCCTACAACTCTTCTGGTCTGCAGTGTAATGTATCAAATCTGTTCTTCAGATGAGCTCTGAATTCAGGTGGGATTTATTCAGGCTCATATTTTGGCTCTCGTGGATTTGTTTGGATTTTCCTCAGCTTCAGTCTGAATTTGCATAAAAGCAATTGATGGTATGTTCCACAGTCTTCCCCGGCCTTGTTTTGACTCATGATATGGAGTTTTTCCACCTTCTCTTTCCACAGATGTAGTCAGTTTGATTTCTGTGTATTTCATCTGGTGAGGTCCATTTGTATAATCTTGTCTTATGCTTTCTAAAGAAGGTATTTGAAATGAACAAATCATTAGTTTTGCAGAATTCTATCATGCGTTCCCCAGCATCATTTCTGTCACTAAGGCCATATTTTCCAACCACTGATCCTTCCTCTTTGCTCCCAACCTTTGCATTCCAATCACCAGTAATGATCAATACGTCTTGATTGCATGTTTGATCAATTTCAGATTGAAGAAGTTGGTAGAATTCTTCTATTTCATCCTCACTGGCTTTAGCGGTTGGTGCGTAAATTTGAATAATAGTGGTATTAACTGGTCTTCCCTGTAGGCACATGGATATTATCCTATCACAGACAGCACTGTACCTCATGACTGATCTGGATATGTTCTTTTTGACAATGAATGCAACACCATTCCTCTTCACATGGTAAACCATGTGGTTGTCAGTTTCAAAATGGCTAATACCAGTCCATTTCAGCTAACTAATGCCTAAGATATCGGTGTTTATGCGCTGCATTTCTTTTTTTTTTTTTTTTAATGTTTTATTGTGAATTATGTGATAGTTTACATGGGAGAACATCAGTCTTACATTCATTCTATTGTATACCGTCTCATTGCCATGGTTACAATCCCCTCCGTGCAATCCTTCCCCTGTACCCCCCAGGTCTTCAGCACCCAGTTGCTCTCCCTCTCTGGATCTAAAGTCCCCAGCTGCTCCATCTCTCCACGTCATCATCTCTGGCTCCATTTCAGGCATCACTGCTTCTCTGGGTAGGGTTGCATTTCATTTTTGACAATTTCCAATTTTCCCAGATTCATACTTCATACATTCCATGTTCCAATTTTCAGTGGATGTTTACAGCTGTTTGTCATCAGCAAATGAAGGTCCTGCAGGCTTTTCTCCCACGAGCTTAACTCCTTTTGCGTCATCACCATCAACTCTACTTTGAGGAGGCAGCTCTTCCCCAGTCACATTTTGAGTGCCTTCCAACCTAAGGGGCTCGTTTTCCGGCACTGTGTCTGACAGTGTTTCTCTGCTATTCATAAGGTTTTCAGTGACTAAATATTCAGAAGCAGTTTGTCTCTTTCTTCCTAGTCTGTCATCATCTGGAAGCTCATCTGAAACCTGTCCAGCAAGGGTGACCTGGCTGGTATTTAAAATACTGGTGGCATAGCTTCCAGAATCACAGCAACTCACAGCCACCACAGTACGACCAACTGACAGACAAATGATGGATATATGTATGTATACACACACATACACACACACACAGAGAGGCATATTTATGTCTAATGCAAGTTCATTACTAGGGAAAGGTGATACGTAGACTCAGTGAGATCATGCATCTGGGATAAACAGACATGAGACCATGGCGCTGCTATAATTGTTTAAAAACCTATAAGAGAAGAAAATGAAGGCTGATTCTGAGTTTGGTACTACATGTCTTCGGCTAGGTTTTCTAGAGACGCAAAACCAGTGAAACAAATACATGTACTTGTTAAGTTCCATTGGATCGGTTCCAACTTTTAGCCAGAAATAGAGCCAGAAGGCTCCTTCGAAGCATGACGGACAGACTTCATCCATCATTCATCATACATATTATTGGGAGGGACCAGCCCCTGGAGGACATCATGCTTGGTAAAGTAGAGGGTCAGAGAAACAGAGGAAGACCCCCAGCGAGATGGATTGGCACAGGGCAGTGGTGCTTGACTCGAGTTTGCAGTGACTTTGAGGTTGGGGGAGGACTGGGCTGTGTTGCGTTCTGTTCTGCATGGAATCGATGTGAGTCAGTACCGACTTGCCGACACCAAACAGCGGCATATAAAGACCATTTTGTTTCACGTAAATGGCTCACAAGTGCGGTGATGGAGAATCCCAGGTACAGACCCATCAGGGAAACATCACGAGCTTTTCCTGTGTGTTCATTATAGTAGGAGCAGGTCACACCCCCTGGGAAGCATCATTTCACTTGATTGGCTGCTCATGGCCAATCATCATAGAGCTAACTCTGCCGGAATAGTGGATAGCCACATCTCAACTCCCTTAGTACTGGGAATCCTGGCCCATTTGAGTTGACACAAAACCTCAACTATCATCCCTGTAAACTGGGTAAGAGTGTGACCTTGAGAATCGCCTAATGACCTGGGTTCAATCCACCAGCTGCTCCAGAAGCGAAGGCTGAGTCGGTGTGTTCCCGGGGTCACTGTGAGTTGGCGATGACGCGCTAGCAGTGGGTTTGGTTGGACCATTCATCCTGGCTCGTGCATGGACATGGGCACGTTGGCTCACCTCACAGAGCCTCGCATTTCTGACTCTGAAGTAGAGGTCAACGATACAACACCTGGAAAGGCCTTGGCGGGCTCGGGGTTGGTCCCTCCACCACAACACGAGCTACTGTAGCGCCATTGTCTGTACACAGCCACCTGGAGTCGCTCGCTCGTTTCATAGCAGACACTGAGCTTTTACAAACTGAAGTTTTGTGGTAACCCTGCATTGAGAAAGTCCACCGGCGCTGTTTCCCTGCAGCCTGAATCACTGTGTGTGTCTCCCATCTCAGATGTTTTCATCTTGGGTCCATGGAGGCCTAGGGTGGTGCTGTGGACTGCAAGGCTGGTGGTTCAAATGCCAGCCACTCCTGGAAGCCCTACACAGGTCACGATGGGTCGGAACTGACTCGACAGCACTAAACACCAGCTTGCACGTTGCACTGACCACAGTTTATGTGATACTGACTCTTACATGCACTGTCGTTGTTGACCATAGTGACCCTGAATAGGGTTTCTGAGGGGCCAGCGGTCTCCAGTTAACTGTTCAGTGTTTATCCTACAGCGTAACAGCAGCACGACTTTTGATGCACCGGGGTGGCTGGCTTTACTGAGGTCGTGGCTTTCCTGGGGTGTTTGGCTGAGGGAGCAGGCTGAGATGATAAGTAACCTGCCCCTGCTCCCTCAGGAACACACATGACGGCTGGGCTCAGCGGTGGGTTTCAGGGACTCATGCTGCTGTCTTTTCTAGGTGACTACCCGGCACCAAGAGCCGTCCTCACGGGCCATGACCACGAGGTTGTCTGCGTTTCTGTCTGCGCAGAGCTGGGACTGGTTATCAGTGGTGCTAAAGGTTAGCAGTCGTTTCTTTCTTTTTGGATCTTTAAAAACCATACTATTGATGCCCAACAATTGGCCTGGATTCACCTGGAATAACAGGGCAAGAGGAAGTGTCTGGAATAGGAGCAGGATGGAACACGTGACTAATAGCCTCCAGGAACACCCAGGACTATCGGGAGCCCAGCAATCATTGTTGAATGTTTTGATCAAAGATTCTATGAAAGAATTCTGATCAAAGTGGGCGGGGGCAATTCAGAACAGAATTTGAAATTCCCATGGACTCCAGACTTCCTGGAAATATGAAGGTTGAATGAGCCACTGAAACTTTTGTCTGAGATAAACTTGAAACCTTAAACTCAAAATGTCCCCTGAGGTCCCCTTAAAATCCAACAGTAGTTTAGCTTAACTTCTAGTGAAAGGTCTGCCTGGGGCAGTGTGCTCCTTTAAGAACTCTTTGTAATGGGATCAAATTGACAACAGCAACTTGAAAGATTAGAACTTTGGGAGCGTTTGGGAGCCGGGTGTTGATATGAATGAGGGTGGAACAGTCCAGAAAAGGAGGATGAGAATGGTTGGGCAGACTGAAGAGTGCCCTCGGTGTCGCTGAATTTAAGTGCAGATGCTGTTGAATTGGTGTATGTTTGTTGTATAGTCTCAACAATAAGAAACGTAGTCAACTTAAGGGGTAAATGCCCTATTTTCTGTCTCAGGCTAACCATCGTGTCTTTAGGAGTGTTCCTGGGAGCTGCTTCGTTGTAATGTGAATACGTGCTAGTAAGGACTGAGGAACACAGGCAGCTCTGTGCCAGAGTCCAGGTGAACTGAATGGCAGGGCTGGACAGTCATCTGATGCAGTAGCTTCCTAAGATGACACACGGTGGCTGTGGGCAGGTTCCTCACTAGGCCACAAGTTCTTGCCGTGATGACGTAGTGACCATGAGAAAGGAGACTGCTTTATAGATCCCTCTAACTGTGGAGGAAGCATAGTCCCAGGAAAATTGAATTTGAATTCAGATCCATGAGGAGTGTGGGTGGTACAGCAATTCAGCTCTCAGCTCAGTGGAAGGTTGACAGTTCAAACTCGTCCTGCAGCTCCTAGGGAAAGACATGACCGTGTGCTCCCATAGAGGTGACCGCCGGGGAGCAGCGCCGTCCTATCACATGGGGTCACAAGAGTGACCAGTTCTCCAGGGAAGGTCCCGAGCCAGGAAGGAGCTGGTGAGGGTGAGGGTGAGGGTGAAGGCCAGCAGCTGTCCTCTATGGCAAGTGTGGGAGTGGCCACTGGAAGTATTCAAACTGATGTGGCGTCAGAGAGCTTGACTGGCCGCTGTATGGAGAATGGGCAGACTGTCTGAAGTTAGAGACCGTGGTTTTCATCTGACTCTCTAAGAATGTGTAACCAGAGATGGGTACGTTGGAGGTATTCAGTAAGGTCTTTTAATTAAAACGAACAAACAAAAACCAATAATACTTGTCACATTAGTCTATCCTGTTGTTGTGTGCCTTCTCCCCTGCATAGGCAGCTGGATTTGAACTGCCGACCATGCAGTTAACACTGTGCCTCCTCTGTTCCTCTGTCCCGTAAGCCCGGGCACGTGGGGAAAGTGGTGACATCAGAGGCGTTCTCTAGTTGTCTCTCTTTCCCATAATGCACATCTTCTACTTCAGTAATCAGGGAAATGTAGGTATAGAGATGTATTACTACTTGTCGCCTCTATTAAAGAAATTAACTAAGAAATGAAATTTATCCTGATTCTTTTTGACTGAAATTAAACTGTACTGACCTATTATTCTAAATAAGATTTTTTTTTAATTATTTAAATTTTAAATGATTTCACTTAACTGTTTGGGGCAGAAAATGTTTTGTCTTATCAGCGTTTCTACAAGGGATAAAAAAGACACTTGGCACACACCATGTCACTGCACACCACTTCTGCATTCTCGCTGTACCGTTCGTTTAACAACAAAAAGTGTTTCTGTCGTCTAAATTACATGTTAAGGTACACAGTCCAAAAACACAGAACTTACTATGTATTTAATAGCAACATATTTATGTGGTGCAGCATGAAAATTTGGGTGTTGCAAGAGAATATTGACAACGCTTTTGATAATTTTCCCAAAATGTGAAAGAAAACGTTCTAAAATATCGTGTAAGGAGAAAATGCTTGGGACATGGGTCATTTATTCTCACATAACCAAAATTGTGTCCTTTTATGAGAAATGTGATCTCATGAAGGAAGAGACTGTCTGTTTACCTAGATAGCAAGTTAGGAAAATTTGTGTATGTGTATATGCATGCATGTGTACCTATCTGTGTGTGTATGTGTGTACTATGCATGTGTGTGCCTGTGTATTTGTGTGTATGTGTGCATATGCACATGTGTACCTGTGCATGTGTGTGTCTTTGTATGTGTTGTGTGCCTATACATGTGTGTATATGCACATGTGTACCTGTGTGTTTGTATGTGCTTCTATGTATGTGTGTGTGCCTATAGAGATATATATGAGTATCTGTGTATGTGCACACATATACCTGTGTATCTGTGTGTGTGTAGGGGTGTGTGTGTGTGTGTGTGTGAAGACACTGTAGAAAGTTCATGGAAAATATCCAGGATCTTTTACTCCCATTTTTCCATGAACTTTTTGAAGCCCTCTCATACATGTGTGTATACATATACATTGTTGCTGTTCTGACTCAGAGTGACCCTGTGTGGGATTTCTGAGAAGCAGCTAGTGGGTTTGAACTGCCAACCTTGCAGTTGGCAGTCCATGCTGATCCTACAGCCCCACACCAGAACTCCATGTATGTATATCTGTGTCTGTATGTCTGTGTCTGTACATCTGTGTATGGACTTCTGGTGTGGCACTGTAGGATCAGCACTGGAGAGTGAACCGCAAGGTCAGCAGTTCACACTCAGCAGCTGCTCCAAAGACACCCTGTACAGGATCGCTATGAGTTGGAACTTACTCAGCTGCACTTAACAACAACAACACATATGTGTATATGTGTGTATGTGTTTCTAAGTGTATGTGTGGGGGTATGTGAACATAATGTGTGTAGGTATGTGTGTACATATGTTTGTATACGTGCATACATATATAACCGGTGTGTGTGTGTGTGTGTACATGGGAATATGCGTGTTTACATGCGTGCGGTGTGCATCTCTATGGGTGTGTCTCTGCATGTCTACATGTTTAAATGTGCATACATGTGTACATGAGTTGTGTGCATCTATGTGGGTGCGGGTATGTCTGTGCATATCTACATGTTTAAATGTACATGCATGTGTACACATGTGCTGGTACGCATCTATGTGTGTATGTGCCTATGTGTTTAAGTGTGCATTCATATGTACATATGTGCTGGTGTGCATCTATGTGGGTGTGGGTGTGTCTGTGCATGTCTACATGTTTAACTGTGCGGGTTTAAACGTACGTGTGTGCTGGTGTGCATCTCTGTAGGTGTGTGCATGTTTACATGTTTAAATGTATGTGTGTCTACATATATGCTGGTGTGCATCTCTGTGGGTGTGTCTGTGTGTGTTTATGTATGTAAATGTACATGTGTGATTGTACATGTGTGCTGGTGTGCATCTATGAGAGTGGGTGTGTCTGTGCGTGTCTATGTGTTTAAATGTACGTGTGTGTACATTGTGCTTGTGTGAATTTCTGTGGGTGTGTCTGTGTGTGTTTATGTGTTTAAATGTACTTGTGTGTGTGTACGCGTGCATATGTTATCCGTACTTTCTCTGAGTACTCGCCATGTAAGCAACACTCAGTGCTGGGGCCTGGCTGGCAGACCTTTCTTCTCCATCTCCTCCGATAAGTGTGTGCATGCCTTCGGCTCCAGATGCTGATTTGCCCGTCAGCCCTAACTGTCTGTCGTCCACTCCGTAGAGGGCCCCTGCCTGGTCCACACCATCACTGGGGACCTGCTGCGAGCCCTGGAAGGGCCAGACAACTGCTTCTTCCCGCGCCTGATCTCCGTCTCCAGTGAGGGCCACTGCATCATCTACTATGAGCGTGGTCGCTTCAGCAACTTCAGCATCAACGGAAAACTCTTGGCGCAGATGGAGATCGCTGACTCCACTCGGGTAACCGCACCCTCGGGGTGTCCCTGAATACAACCAGAGAGACTGGGTCCCAGCAGATGCCCCCGTGCCCTGGAGATGGGGTCCCCAAATATAGTCAGAAAGAGTGGGTCCCAGCAGATATCCCCGTGTCTGGTGAGTGGGGTCCTGAAGGCATCATTCTGAGTGAAATGAGTCAGTCACAGACAGACACACATTATGTAATTCCCCCTGAAATGGACTCTCTGGGACAGACACGTGTGTAGAGACAACGTGGTGGGGGGAGGGGGGGAGTGAGGGCCCGCATAGGCGGGTGGGGCAGCACCATGGGATCAGGGTAACGCTGCACCGCGTGATCAACATCGTATCTCTGAAGGTTACACCTGAAGAATGTGGAAATGTCTAATGTTTGTCACATATATAGGAGGGGGCTTCAAAACGTTCATGGAAAAATGGAGTTTTCTTTTCATTCAATTTATCCATAGACTTTCTGAAGCCCCTTATATTTACCAAAATGTACATCTTCAAAAAAGCACGTCACTTCACACAGATTGGTCCTGAGTGGGTCTGAAGTTCACCTGACTTCAAGTCACTGTAGGCCGGGGACCCCACCTCTAACCAGGCGACTTCAAGTCACTGCAGGCCAGGGACCCCCACCTCTGACCGGGCTGAGGCACCTGCTACCACAGGACCAGAGATCAGACGCTCAAGGAGATGGTTTTGAGTTCCTGTCACAAATCTGCCTCTTAGTGTCCTTACACCACACAGTCCAGCACTTCCTGGTCGAGGACCCTCACCTGTAGAAACGAGACAGAAACGGGAGCCACACTGGCCAGTCCAGGGTTGTAAATGAATGAGCTTCCATATTGCTACATTTGGGACTAACAGACATGTTACTTCCTTCTCAAGTCATTCCTGGATTCGGGTGATGATGGTCTGTTTGGGACATCAGTTATTTTGTACCTTAATTTGGTTTTAATAAGCTCCTCTGAGTCTGTAAGAACTGTAATGAAATCCACACTGGAAATTGCGTGGAAACCCCGACCGATGTCGGCCTGTAGAGGGTGGAAACTCTGGCCAGGTGAGAAACTGCTGTCCCCTCTTCCCCCAAGGCCATCCTCCTGAGCAGTGACGGGCAGAACCTGGTGACAGGAGGGGACAATGGCGTGGTGGAGGTCTGGCAGGCCTGTGATTTCAAACAGCTGTACATCTACCCTGGGTGTGACGCCGGCATCCGAGCCATGGACCTGTCCCACGACCAGAGGTGAGCAGGAAGGACAAGGGCTGAGCTGAGCTGAGGAAATGCATGAGAAGCAGAGAAAGGCAAGATGAGATGCAGGCAGGATTCAGGCAGGTGCATTGTCAGGTCTAGGACACTGAGCACCGCGTCTCTGCCAGGGGCTGGAGGCCACGTCCAGCCCTTCCCGCCAAGGCACCGTCCAAAACCTCAGTTCATTGTGCGCTTCTCCATCTCTCTCCATTTTGGGAGAGGATTTCATTATTTCCTCCCATTCAGTGAAGAAAATATCAAATCTTAAGCATTGAAGTTGTAAAATATGAGCTAAAACTCTACAGTATCGACATGGTGTGGGTTTCTCCTTTCTTTGGCCATATACTTAGTAAGAAATAGTACAAATCCAAACCATGTTTAGTAAGAAATCAGGAAAAGTTGCTAAGCAAGTTTTGTTTTCCATCTGTATGCAGTATTCCTCATAGGAGAGTTGCTTTCAAACGATCTCATGTACTAAGACATACAATCATTTTCACAAAGCATCTTCACAAGATGATAAAACGATACTGAAGGCATTTGAAAACAGGGTCATTTAATTTCATTTGGGAGGAGGGGTGTTTGGTCACTTGCTGGTTTGATTTTGGGTTGGGTTTGTGCTCACACTGGTCTGAAAGCGTCCCAGCAGGTAACGTAGGCTGAGTACTGGCTTGTGTACAGCTGTTGGGGCTGTTGGCTGGTGCAGATGATGTGCGCCCACTCTGCAGATGCTTTCTGTCAGCCCCAGGGGCCGGCCATGGGGCTGCTAGCCTCAGATTCCACGGTCCAAACCCACCAGCCACTGTGTGGGAGAAAGATGAGGATTCATAGTCTCAGAAACCCTGGGGGTCATTCAGTCTGTCCTGTAGGGTCACTGTGAGCCACACCCACCAGCCGCTCACTCTGCGGGGGGCAGGGGAGATAGGACAGTCGGGTCCCATCACGATGGCAGCCTGGACCCCCTTGCTTTGCTGCTGTATCGTTGGGGGTTTACTGTGAGACAGGAGCGGCTTGACCACAGCACACTGCTAGGAGTCATGTATGGGGCTCACACCCCACAGTGCTGCAGGTCCACAACAGAACACCACCCTCAAAGCTGACGCCCAGTCCCCGTGCTGTGGCGGCCCCGGCACTTCCTTGGGGGGTGGGGGGGTGGGTGGTCTTCTTTACAGCAGCGCATTACCAGGCCTTAACTCCACAGTGTGTGCGCAACCCAGGGACCATTCTGGTTTCCACCAAACCAAAACCCAGAGCCATCCAGCTGTTTCCAACTCCCTGTGACCCTGTAGAGGCCTCGGAGGCTGTAGTTGGGCAGGAGCAGATAGCCTCATCTTTCTCCCATGGAGCGGCTGGGGGGTTTGAACCGCTGACCTTACTGATCTTAAGATGCTGAAAATCACTGCGATGCCAAGGAGATAGGCAGGGTCAGAGGGTCTTATCTCCATAGGGTCTTCCTGTGGAGAGGTGGCCGGCAGGCAAGACTCCAGATGGGGGGAGACGGAGGAGCAAACGGCTCAACCCACTGCCGTGGACTAGTCCACTCACAGGGTCCCTGTAGGCAGAGCAGACGCCTGGCCCTCACACTGGACCAAGGACCGCCCTGCCCCTAGTCTGTGTCCTCAGAACCCGGGCTTGGGGAGCGTGGAGATGGTGTTGTCTGGTGTCTAGGATCAGCTCTGACCCAGGCCCCTAACCGCTGTCTCCTTTTGCAGAACCTTGATCACCGGCATGGCGTCTGGTAGCATCGTAGCTTTTAATATAGATTTTAATCGATGGCACTATGAGCATCAGAACAGATACTGAGGAGGAGTGAAGGGCCAAGGGCACGCTGAAGCGGAGCACAGTGCTTGGCTGGAAAGGCCGTGTCCCTGGGGAAGCCCATTCCGTGGCCTCGTCTGCACACCCCATCACACCCAGCAATAGCCGTCAGCACCTCTCTGACTTCCCGTCTTCTCACGACCGAACACCAGCTGTTCCGCAGCCAGCTTCCGTCATGTACATTATAGGAATTAGGAGATGTTTGGGTCATTATTTCATATCTCGATGTTTCCTGAGAAAAAGGTGGTCGGGCGCGCCACAGGAGACTCCTGACCATGCGGAGGAACCTTGTGTCCCGTGTGACAGAGTGTGAGCTCTGAACCTCACCTGCATCTCATTCCCAGCCTCTTTTCAAGCTGAGAAAAAAAGAAAACAGAAAACAAAAAACAACCCCGTTTGATACTTTGTACATCAGACACATCTTCTTTAAAGGGATACTTTTGTAAAAGTCAAATGTTGTATAAAGAACAAACCGTTTCTTAATTTTGCGGTGGAGTTACCGTGTGCTCCTTCCTCCCAGCGTCCTGTGGGGCAGGCGCTCCCACCAGGAACCAGGAGCTCTGCCCCAGGACTCAGCTTGTCCGAGGGCTCCGTAGGCTTCAGTCAGTGATTTCGGCATTCTCACCTCAGTACGTCTGCACTTTTCAGTCCAAACCATCCATCCCGAGAGGTGTTCGCTCGCAAGGCATTTGGATAGTAAGCCATTATTCGCCATTTTGGTACTTTATACAAAGAAAATCCCACCCTCCCCCTGACGGTTTGAAGACGCAGCAGACAGGGGGTCTGCGGGTGAGGTCCCCGTTTTTACTGTCTGAACCGACGTGGCAGTTGTTAGTGGCATAGGCATGGCTTCCCTGAATCTGACCTACTCTTCCAGAACCTTCAGCTTGCAAAGCGTGTGAGCTCTAGGGCCCAGGGCTCTAATGCTCATGACTTTTGTTTTTCTTTCTTTTTTTTCTCTGTTTCTTGAATAACACATCAGACTTCGTTACAAGTCCAGTGAGACTTTAGATTCCACTGAGTTCTCACCTGAGGGTGTAAAATGATGGCGCTCCGAGGATTTTCCACCCAGAGGGAGAGATCCTCGCCAAGGTTCCCCTTTGTGTATTTGGTGGCTGTATTGTCATAGATGTACATATTGTGTTGGTAGGGTTATGAGGCATGTTCCAGGAATGTAATTTTCTCAGAGTTCACACATCCACTTGCCGTCATTTATTTAAAAAGATTTCAAAAAAACAAAAAATCACACACAAAAAAAAACCCGAGATAATGGATTCTTTGTACTGGCACTTTGACCAGAAACATATCATTATTTATTGATGCGGTTCCTTCTTTGTCCCCGCCTCGTGCTTACTAGTAAGTTCTAGCACTCCACTCCTTCACTGTCCTTTGTATTTATGAGATTCTGAAGTTAAGGGGATCCGCATAACGATTCCGGGGTTCGTCGCCAGGCTAGAACCGGGAAGACGCCGACCATCTGGGAAGTCGAGTCATCTCATCTTGAAATCATGGTGAAATATTTTGGATTTATCAATCCCTTATGCTATTGTAACCATGTTTTATTGCAAAGATGTAAAATAACGCCAGATGTGTGTGAGCTGGAAATCAAAACACAAGACAAATAAAATATGCAAAAAATTCACCCATGGATTCCCATTTCCTTGGACGCTTGACCGACGCACATTCATTCCGCAGTCTTACAAGTTTAAGAACCCACCACCACCACCACCAAGTGACCATCACCTCCTATAAAGCCCCCTCCCCTCAGCATCTACAAACAGAAAAGCCGGCCCTGAAAAGGGCCCATGATGGGCTGAATCCGGAGCTGTCCAGCTTGACGCCTGGCAGGGACTTGGGGCAGCCGTGACCAGGACCCAGAAGTCCCTGTTCATTCTGTCAGACTTGCTGTGGGGTGGGTCTTATGTTCTTTAGGAGGAAAGGTTTGAGTGGAGGCTGAAGCTATCCCGGGTCATGACCTGAGTTTACCAAGTAGTACTGTGCTTGTTTGGAGCCAGCACTGCCTAAGAATTCATCTTCCCCAAGCATGACGCCCACAGTGCTGGAGGGGCGGGTGTCAGAGTGGGATTCTGTCTGTGTCCTTAAGGACAGAAAAAAAGACTTGTTCTTCTTTAACCCTTAAACTATCTGAACTGACTTGATGGCACTTAACAACAACAACAACCCTTAATCTGCCCCCAGGAAATCCACCAGCACCACACACCCGTTCCTGCCCCTCCACGCCCTGACATGGACCACCCCATAGCTTCACCCATACTGCCCCCCAGGGAGTGTTTAGACTTACCAGAAACCCAGCCTGTCAGACCGTAACTTAATGCTGTTGCATCAGATTTGTATTAAAAATAGATATTTTATGAGGCTTTCTCTTATCCGGAGACTTAAAATTTCCTGAGCTAAAATGAATCCCCGCGTGTTTTTGGTTTGTTTTTTTTCTGTCTTTTACCCAAAGTTACTCAGTGACTTTCCTTTCCCCTTCAAGAGCAGTCAAGCGTGAAACCTTTAGCCAGTAATGTAATGAAGACAATGCCATCTCCTTTAAAGTGTCTGGGGCCAAATCAGACAGGAAGTTACCTTTTTAACGTTAATTTGGTAGTCTTTGAGTACTTCATCTCCATGGAAACCTTTCAAAGTTATTTAAGTATCTGAATTCTCCATTCTTTGGAAGCAGATTTCTCTTCTGGGCTCCACAATTGTAAATTGTATATTAAACCCTTGTGTTTTTAAGTGCAGCCCAACCCACAGCGACCCACCCCGTAAAGTGTTTCCAAGGAGCAGTTGGTGAGTTTGCACAACCATGTTGTTGTTGGTAACTGCCTGCAAGTCAGTTATGACTCATAGCGACCCTGTGTAGGGTTTCCAAGGAGTTTGAACCTGCAACCTTGCGGTTCAAACCGACTTTGCAGTCCAGCGCATTAATCCAAAGTGCCACAACCACATAGATAAACCCTATACACGGTTGCTGTGTGTCAGTACAAACGTAGAAGTACTTCACAACAACAACAATAGTGTTGCTGTTGTTGTTATGTGCCGTGGAGTTGGTTTCTGAGGCTGTAAATCTTTATGGGAACAGAAAGCCTCATCTTTCTCCTGTGGAACAACTGGTGGTTTCGAACTGCTGACTGTGAGATTAGCAGCCTGATTTGTGACCACCACACTACCAGAGCTCCTTAACAACAATAGTTGTTGTTTGTTGTGGTGAGTAAGTGCTGTTGAATTTGTTCTGAATCACGTTGTTGTTATGAAGTGCCATGGAGTCGGTTCCAACTCATAGCAACCCTGTATAGAGTCTCTAAGGAGCAGCTGGGCTTGAACTGCCGGCCTTGTGGTTCCAACTCCCTGTTTAGGGTTTCCGAGGCTGTAAACCTTTACGGAAGCAGAGTGGGCCTCTCCAGCTGGGTGACGTCAGCGAATCTATTTAAAACAGACTGAGTGTCCTCCCTTTTCTACCACCGAGGACGTCCGTGGGTCTCTCAGCATCAGCAGTGACAATTAAGACAAAACGGAGTGAAACCAGCCATCAGCCATTTTATTTAGACCGAGTGTCTTCACGCATGGTCTCTCCATAGAAATGATGTGACCACTGTTTAAAGAGTGTCTTCTTCACTCACACGCCTGCTTCTGTGATTCAGGTAAGTGCAGGACAAGCTCTTTTGGAGGAACATTTGGTTTCACACAAAGGTGCCCCCTCCCCCGGAGTGAGGCTGATGCCCCCCCTCAGGATCGTTTGACCCCCAAGGTCACTTTCTGCACTGGGACGGCGGTGGGGGGAGGGTAGCCTGATTACAAGCATTAGGCAGGCATTGTATATAATACTGTCTTGACGACTTTTTTATATAATGCTGAGTGACACATTCCGGAATATGTTAAATTTCGCATTCCTTGTCACAAATCTAGTGTGGTCCTCTCTGTTGGACGTTTTAGCAAGTCAGGAAAGCAAAGGGTTATTTGTCGATGACAAAGCTTCATATGTGGTGGTTAGTTCATGATCTTTGTAAAGGGCACGGTCTGGTAGGAATCCATTAGGAACCATGCTGAAAACAGTCTTAGGGCATCGAGCTCTGGCCAGGGGCTGACCCACATGGACCAGGCCGGACGGAAACCAACCAAGCCAGCTCTTCCTTTCAACTGAGTGGCTGAACAGAGCTGAACGCAATCGTCCGCCTGTGTAGACTCCCACAAAGCAAGAGCTGCCATAAAAATGCCCATGATCCTCAGCAAGGGCATCACAGTCCACCTGTCCTGCTGTGACGGTCAGTGCCATCTGCCAACATTACACATGTGATCCAATGCAAGCAGCTGACTAGTTGAAAGGGGAGCGTCTTTGGGGTGTGACCTGCCTCCAGTACGTAGTGGATGTTCAGACAAAATCCGCTCCCTCCATCCTGCACTCTTCCCATCGCCGGAGACACAGAGGCCTGATGGTTCAGTTGTTAAGTAGTCAGCTGCTAGCCCCAAACTGGGTGATCTAGACACCCATAAATCGGCAGTCTAGGAAAACCTATGGGGCAGTTCCACTCTGCCGGCATGCTGGAGCTCAGAACTGACCAGACCACACCTGATAGCAAGACGCTTGCAGAAATTTCCAGCCTGCTGCTTGACCTACAGACTGGGGTCCGTCTCTCCTCTTTCTCTGGTTTTTATACTGCGGTGGCTTGCACATTGCTTTGATGCTGCGTCACCGTATTTCAGAGAGCCACAGTGTTGTCCAGGGCAGACTGGTTTCAGCAGAACTTCCAGACTGGAGGAAAAGGAACATATGTTCCACTCTTGAGGGATTACCCCAAATTCAAAGTCATTGAGTGAGTTTCAACTCCTAGCACCCCGGTAGTGAGCTTCCGGGGCAATAAATCCTATGGAAGCAGAAAACCTCATCTTTCTCCCGAGGAGTGGCCGGTGTGTTTGAACTGCCGATTTTGTGGTTTGCAGTTCAGTGCTTATCCCACAGCTCCACCAGGGCTCTTAGCCAC